GCTCATGGAGCGATCATTATGAACGGACTAACTACACTATCACAGTCTTCAAACTCCATTGCAAAAGTCTTACAGCCACAGCTTGCTAGAAAATTAACAGAGCTAAATATCTTATCACGACGCCTTTTGATAACATCAAATACTCCCAAACAACCTTTGTATAGGATAAAAGTAGGTAAATTCAGCTATCCCTCACAACTTCTTAAATAAGTTCTGTTCTGAAAGTGCTAAGGTTAAACCTATCACTAAACAACAGTTTGGCCCCTATATTAACGTAGCATGTGTCAAACAGTGGTGGGATTCAAAAACTTTTTACTACTGGTTCTGTGGGTGTGGCTTGGTGGAGGTGACTTGGTAGGCGTGGCAGGGGAAGGATACTGCAAACTCTCCATTCCAACCCCACTTCTGGAGGAAGATTACTGCAAAATCCCATTCCCTCCCCACCTCACTAACCTGCTTTCCAGCTCTGTTCTCCTGTGCAGGGCAACAAAAGAAGCTGGGACTCAAGAAGCAGAGAATAGATGGGGATGGGGCCAATCAGAGGTGGTATTTGCCAGTTTTCCAAACTACTCAAAATTTCTGCTACAGGTTGTCCAGAACTGGTCAGAACCTGCTGAATACCACCTCTGGTATAAATTTATAATTTATAAATCACATTTTATGGACCTAGATGCGAAGATAGACCCAGAGTTAAGTAGACCTATATTTTTAAAAAGAGTTTTCATCTCAAAATTATATGGGGGACAGATATCTTGGCCCAACTTAGTTACTTGATCACTACATTTACACAATGCAGGTAATCCTTGCTTAATGACAACTGGGACCAGCAACCCCTGTTGAGGTAATTCCCCGTTAGGAGAATGAGCGCATACAGGGAGATGTATAGAGAGTAGTGTTGGAATAATACACACAGAGCACACAGATACACTGTACAGTAAATGTAGGTTTTTACTTCCAGAAAGATTTAAGCAAAGTCCAAAATAAGCAATCCAAAGTCATTCACAAGTTAAATCAGTCAGTTTTCAATCCAGGGATAATTCAATAACAAAGTCCAGTGTCAAAAACACAGTTCAGTAACAAATTTACATCAAATCCAGGAATATCAGTCAATTAGGAAAAATGGAGCAACGGCAATACTTTCCAACAGAAGGAAACAGAGACACACTCACACTCTCTTCTAAGACTCAGACTAAGACAATCCAGGTTTCTGGCTCCATCTTATGGCTGAAAAACCACACCCAATTAAAGTTTTTGCAATCTCTTAAAGACAGTACTAAAATGTTTATCCTGGTTTATATATTTCTAACCCAAATACCTGTTAGGTGACTTATATTCCTAACAACCCCCATTCTTAAGTGACAGATTTGTTAAGTGAAGCATCATGTGACTAAGCTGCAATTAACATCGCTCTGGCTCTGATCATTAAGCAAATAACGTAATCTATGGTCATAAGGGAAGACATCCTATAACTGTGACTTGTGATTTTATCGCTAGCTTCTCCATTAACTCTGTTTCTCAGAAACCAGCTGTGAAGTGCAGAAATGATAACCATGTGACTAGGGTAATCATAACTGCAAGGACCAGTTACAAATTTATTTTTCAGTGCTGTCGTAATGTAGAAGAGTCACTGAACAGGACAGTTGTTAAGCAAGGACTACAGCATGCTAAACCCGATTCCTAATTAATGGCTTACTGAATGGTTGAATTCACTTGCTAACAAGGTGAACAGCTTGCTAAATCACTTGAAAGCGATTCCCAGAGAATCAGTAAACTGCATTGTCTTAGCCAGATAAAACTCGAAGTCTATTTTCTCTTAGCTCCATCCATCCTTTTTTCTCTACCAGGAAGAGAAAAAAAACAGATGAAAGAGCTGCCCCTTGTCCTTTAATTAGTAATAGCAGGAATTCAATATGGAAGCTCCTTTGCTATAAAAGACAGCTTCATATGTTGTCTAACAGTTTGTTACACTATTAAGGAACAATAGCTTAATTCTTCTACTGAAAACTGTGGGATTTAAAATTGAAGTGATCACACCCACTATATTATAAAGTGAATGAATGATTTTTTTTCTGTCTGTTTTCTCTCTTCAGGACAAGAAAGTCTTCTTTTATGATATCATTTCCTACCCGGCCAAAGCTGCCCTTACCAGCTTAATGTGTGCTTCTTATGCAGCATTAATTTTTCTGGTGGGTTAATAAACAACTGTTACTCCAGCTTTTCTCATACAAAATACCATCTTATTCTCAGCAAGTAAACTCATAATCAATAATGATACAATCTTACCAATAGACCTCATATCTCATTTACCTATGAGAAGAAAATGAATTCAAACATCACATTAAGCCACAAAATGGTTTGGTTATAACTTAGATCTGTTTAGTGAGCTGTGAATAGTATGACTTAATGTATTTGGCAAATACAACCAACTATAACTATCCCACATGCCATGATTATGCTACAAACCTTGATTACAAATGACTTGGCTTGATGAAGGAAATGTCAGGAACAAAGTATCAGGGCCATACATTAATTTGAAGTTCAGAAGATTTATTTCTCAAACCTATAAATGAGAATCTAGTCAACTAGAGTTCAACACTAAATTGGTACCAGATAAGCGTTAACAGATTCAAGAGGGATTGGATTTAGACCTTTGTGGGAATATAACAACTTTAAAAAATTTACGTTCTTTTTACGATTCTTTTTACATATAATAGGACCAGCTTTGACTTTTCAGCCTATCTCCATATTGTTTTATTAAATACAGAAATACATGAACATGGTTCTCATTTCCATTCAAAAAACTTGCTTAATACTGTCCCCAGCTCTATCTTCTCTTCTACAAGAACCAAGCCAATATACTTGTAGCTTTTATGTTTTACCCTAATATATGAATAAAAGTTAGAGCAGTATGTGTAAGAAATGTTAAGATACAGCCCAAACTTCTTTCAATGTTCTGATTGAAGTCATGAATTTGAAATTCATTTTAATTTTTCATATTATATTATTACATTTATACTCTGCTCCATGTGGGTTATAAAGACAACTTATAAAATATAAAATGTGGCAGCAAATTTTTAATTAAAATTAAATCAATTAAAATCAACAGTTAAAACTTGGGTGAAAAAAATTTCATTGATTTAACACTGGAACCGACCAAGTATAGAACTATTTGCAGATTATTATTACTAACTTATTTTACAGTCATGAAAACCACACGAAAACATGAACATTAATTTGAGTTGTATAATAGATCAACTTTCTATCAACAATTACGCTGAAGGTAGCTAACATTAGAATAAAACAAATGACAGCACTACAGCCTAAACTAAGTTGTCTCATCTGATCCAGAATCTCAGCTAGTTCTGCATTTGACTGTTCCCCTAGTACAGTATATAAATTTACTTGTTGGTTCTACAAAGAAGTGAGAGGCTGTAACAAGCAACAAAAATAAGAATTGTTCCATCTATTCAATTTTTCATTCCTCCTCCACCTTGCCGGTTTAAAGAAGGAAAAAAGAAGATGGGGGAGGTGAAGCCACCATTATCCCCATCAATAATGCCTCCAAACTTGATCAGGCCATTGCATTTTTCAAATGCATTTTTGAGCTGTGAATGAAAAAAAAAGGAAGTGACAGCCAAACAGTCACCACAGATGATGGTAATTTGATATAGGTCAAAAAAAAGTCAAGATGGCAGCCACAATCACATAATTAAAGGCTAGCCTTTTTCAAGATGTGCATCACCCATTTTGATGCTTTGTGTCTGCATTCTTGGTTGTTCAGGGGGAAGAGTTTCAGTTCAGTTCTATGGTACCCGATCACCAGGCTAGATACAGATGTCAACCTCCCCTGCTTATTTCTGTCATAGCTTTACCTTTCCAGTGATTTATTATTTTTCTGTAATTAATGCCCAGATTCACCTTATGGGGGAGATGAGCAGCATACAAATTTAATAAATGAAATTAATACAGTCCAACCAGTACTAAAACTACAGGGAAACACACTCTCCTTAAATTAGGAAAAATGTACTATGTCAGATTCTCTAAAGTTAATTAAACAAAAGTATCTCTTTCTATGTGAACAGGCAGTCTCCATTAACAAATTGCTGGCAAAAATAAAAGGCATCGTTCAAACAGAAGACACTTCTAGGGAAAGCAGCAGTGAAGATGTGGATGAACATGGATTTCCCAAAATTCCCAAAGCAACTTCCCCCCTTCAACAAGACTCTTCAATGTTTCCTATTAAAGCATCACAAAATAGTGGAAGCATCCATACTCTACTTGCAGCAATGGATCAAGAAAGCGAACAATAATTATTCTTTTTACGTAGAATAGACCCAGCCTTGACTTTTCAGCCTATATCCACATTGCTTTATTAAATACACAAATATATGAACATGGTTCTCATTTTCCATTCAAGAAATGCCAAATTTTAATTTGCTTTGAGGCTGTGCAAAGTATACGCAAGATACATTTTGCAAAGGCAGAAATCCAAACGAAGCACCTTTTTCCAGGCTGATAATAAAGCCAATGCAACTTCTGTAAGCCCTGGCATGACTGCTTAAGAAACTGCCCAATGGAGGAAAAAAACTGATTTATGAATAAAGGACCTGTCAGGTGTCCCGTAAAAGTTTCAGGAAGCTTTCATTTCAAACAGAGAAAAGTATTATTATTAAATAAAAAGGTACGTTAAAAATTGAAAAAAGTAATCACATTACTTGGGCAAGGAAAATTGATTTTAAAATATTTTTAGAACATCCATGGATTGGTCAGAAAACAAAAACCCAATTAAAGTTAAAAAATGAAGAAGGGATAATTATAACAAGCTGATCATTAGAAAACCATCTGGGAAATGCTGATGTGTCTTTTAGTTGATCCTTGTCCAGAAAGCTCATAATTTCATAGCTTTCTTTGTCTCTCAACTTCTATTACTACACATATACATTTTTCTCACACTCGTTTTTTGAAAACTATACTTAAAAAAAAAGAATTCCATAACTTACAATTCCAAAGAGAAGGCATTTGGTTCGGTTTGGATTCTCTCCCTTTAGAAACCTTATTTGCCAGACAACTAACAACATACTGTGTGGAAGGCATGTTGCTCTGAAAAAGCCCCTCCTACACTACTGTGTGTGCCAAGTTGTTCCAAAGCTGTGTAAAGAGTTCTTTGTTACTCACAACCTTTTTAATGGACAAATTCCGACCATTAGAAGAAAAGGGCTCTGTTTGCAGCAAGAGGAGAAAGAGAAGTCTTGTTTGCAAAAATCCCAGTCCTGATTAAGCGTTACAGATACCATGTGACAAGCTCCTTTAACCAGGCCCATGAGCTCCATTTCCTACAGGGTCTGTTCCCAAATCCACCAGATGTTTACAGTGCTGGTGCCACAGTCAACTCCTCTACCCAGCCTGGCCTGGATTTTAACACATGTAAACAAGTAGTTGGTTAGAAAGAAAATAGGGCATAGTACATACATCAACCAGAAATCCTTACAAAAAGGCTCCAATATGCTCCCAGTGAACGGTTTAGTGGAAAGTTTGTACTGTAAATAGTTTGTTTCATCTTAATAGTGTATACAAATCTAGCACTTAAGCTCAAAGTAAAGCATCTGTTTACTTTGGTGTACATAACACATTTAAGAGGGCATCAGAGTGACAAGAGTAGCTCACCTGAAGCTTAAAAATTACAATGATTCTTGTTGTTAGTTGCAAAGTCGTGTCCAACCCATCACAAAATGCTGCAGATGGTGGACAAAAACCTTTTTCACTGAGGGAGTTTTACTAAGCGAATGTATTACCAAGAAACAGAATGACTTTTAGATAACAAGACCAGAATTTATACAGGTAGTTCTCAACTTGCCACAGTTCATTTAGTGACTGTGCAAAGTTACAACGGCACTGAAAAAAGTGATTTATGACCATTTTTGACACCAATGACCATTGCAACATCCCTGTGGTCGCATGATTTATAGTAATTCAGATGTTTGGCAACTGGTTCATATTTTTGACGATTGCAGAGTCCCGGGGTCATAAGGTCATTTTTTGCGACCTTCTAACAAGCAAAATCAATGGGGAAGCCAGATTCACTTAACAACTGTGTTACTAACATCACAAGTGCAGTGATTCATTTAACAACTGTGACAAAAAGCTTGTAAAATGGGGCAAAACTCACTTAAAAAATATCTCACTTAGCAACAGAAATGTTGAGGTCAACTGTAGTTGTAAGAGTTGTACCTATATTCAACAGTTTTTTCACTCAAGTTCCTAGGAAGCAAAATGTTATTCAAAAATCTTATTTTTCTGCCATTTTTTCTGTTTTGTATTTTTCAGCGTAGTAGTCAGACTCTTTGTACTCCATTAAATCTGAAAGAGTCACATAAACATTTCCGTTGTCCACAGTGACTCTGTGAGTTCTTTGTTTTGCTCCTTTTGATTTCCACTTGGGTACTGCAGATGGTTCTTTGGGATTTATTGCTTGATACAATCCTTCACCTGTATTCAGAGTTATTTTATATTTATGCCAAGGACAAATAATGCATGGTTGTCCATTGATGTCCTACAGACACAAGGGAAGAAGAAAAATGTTTTTCATAAACATTAGAAATAGACACATATATTGTCTACCTACAAATATTCTCTGATCATTTTTAGTTAATTGTATTTGCAATGTTCCCACCCTTTGATGCTTTCATTTATATGAAATTGTTACCGCATTAGCTATCATGTTAAGTGGTATTGTGTTTACCTACCTCTATTTCACCAAGATGTAAGGGACCGCCTGCATCTATTAAAAGATAAAAAATATATTAAACCAGAGCTATTAGTTATGGTGGTTGTACCTTACTTCTAGTTTCAGAAATATTACAGCTCTGAGCACAAATGGCTGGGGAACATAGGTAGGTGTGGGATATAGCATGCATTCTCTGCTTACAAGCTTCCCAACTGCCCCTCACTGTCCAAGAAGTATACAGGACTAAATAATATGTGCATTAACCCAGCAAGGGATTTGTTTTGTTCTTCCTAAGTGTAGCTACTTTAATAGTTCTGTAAGTCTCAATGCATATCATTTTTAAGTTCTTACGGTAACAGCGGCAATCCAGAGCATAAAAGTGTCCACCATGGTAGAAAATAACAACTTGTCTCTCGTGGACAGTGGCTGTTGTTCTCTGAAGCCTTTTAATATCTTCTTCTCTACCAACATAAACTGGATTAGACACGTCTTTCCTTTTAGATGGTTTGACCATATTGCCTTCATTAATATCCTGCAAGAAAAAGAATTACATTAAAAATTAACACGAACATAAAAACAATTGGCCTAAGGGAAAAGTCCAACAGTGCACCATAAGAAATCTGCTCTCTTCTTCCTCATAAGGTCTTCCAGTTCTTGCTGAAAATCATTTTGGAGGGTCTCCCAACATATTGTAGCAGGTTTTGAGAAAGCTTTTTGGGCTACAGGGAAGCAGGGGAGGACTTTCCTATCTATTAAGATGTTCCCTTGCAAAATAAATGGGATTGGAAGCCATCATCACTGAATTCACTTTAAAGCAGATTTGTAAACATGTGATCCACCAGTCCTTTTAGATGGAATCAGAAGGGTGACCCAAGTTTCCTTCCCATGTGAAATCTGCAAAAAAACAAACAAACAAACAAACCCAAAGGAATCAAGTCTTTGGCAGTCAGTCACAGTGGTCAGCTGTCTTTAGCTGAAAAGCAGAGGTGATCCAAATTCTGCAGATAAGATTTATGTGTCCATAAATCTATTGTGAAACAGAACTGAAATAAAATAAAATAAGCCTTATTCATCCAAGAATGATGGTGGTTAATGAAATAAAATTGTTTTAAGGTATCTCACTCTGATCCATATGGTGAGTCCCTGAATGTAATTAACGTATTGAACCAGTTCAGTGCCAACATGCAGTCATCTAAAGAATTCTCAAAGAAGGAAAATATATTGAATGACCCTTTGCACCAAATGAGCAAAGTTAGCATAAAATCCACCCAGAATCAGTCCCCACTAACCAAAGATCTTCTGCCAGAAACCTACGCTCACCAGCACATATAACCCAGTTTCTATGAAACAGTGCTGCTAGGGTGCACCTCAATAGGCAGAGAGAAACCAAAGTGCTCAACTGCAAGGAAGAATGCTGGAGAAAGACAGGCTTAATGTAGTCAGATAACTGTGGAAACAGACCAGATATAATGGGCATCAACTCAGAAACAACAGGGTATTGATAGCCTCCTGCATAAAGTTCTCCACCTGAGAGTAATTCGAGGCCCTAACAATGCATTATTTAACATATGCTTTAAGTCTTGTTAGAAGATATGCTAATCACAAGCAGTATTGAGAGGATGCTGAAGGAATTACAACAGGCCCCATTAAAAATAAATTGTTGAAAACACTGTTTTGTGGAATTCAGGAATGGGCTTAGCCGAGCCATCAATAAATGCTAATCAACATTTGTGGCATTTGAAGCAAAAATAGGTTTATTAAGAAATATATCAAGATAAAAGCCTCACTTGTCTAAATTACACATTTAAGGGAGGGAAATAGACATAGTGGATGCATAGTTCTTTTTGTCTTTTAGTACAGAAACTCAATTAGCCAGATCAAGTTAATACAAAAGATAATTTGACAGTTACCAGCAAGAACAAAAACAAACCTCCTGGACTACCTGACCTGTTTTTTTTTTACCAGCAAGCAAAGATGTGCTTTTGTGGCATCTGAACATGTGTAGCGACATCTCTACTCAAGCTCCATTGTATAATAGTGTCAAATCCAAGTGTGTAAAGGAAGGGGCCTGTGCAACGTTACTATGGAGTGGAGTTTGCCATAACTTATCCTGCTTTTCTGCAGATAATCCTAAAAGCTGTATTCCAAACTGAAAAAGATTAATTTGTAGGTGGCTGATAGCCCTCTTAAATACTCCTCTATTTCAGTCAATCTATGTTAAATCATTACTAATAGGATTGTGTAATACAAGAGGACATGGCTTGCAAATGATTTACCTGAGTAGATTTAACAAAGCCAAACTGCATTATGGCTTTATACATGTGTGTAAACTCTGTTCTTCAGAAAATACCTCCTATAGGAAAAGAACTTCAAAGTTGAAAAAGACTGCTATTTTTTTTTCTTATAGAGAAACACATGAAAGGTTTACATTTTATTAGCAAACAGAAGAAGGGAGAAGCGGTGCCTTATCCAGGAAAGGAAAAACTGAAAAGAAGCAGGGGTTACCTGGGAAAGTGAAGATTTATATTAGAAAGAACAGACTAAGAACTGTAAGCAGTTTACATATTTTGTTATACCAAATAAACAATATACGTAGTCCTCGACTTACAAGCACAATTGAGCCCAAAATTTCTTTTGCTAAGTGAGTTTTGCCACCATTTTATGATCTTTCTTGCCATAGTTCTTAATGGAATCACTGCAGTTGATAAGTTACTTACCTGGTTGTTAAGTGAATCTGGCTTTCCCATTAACTTTGATTGTCAAAAGGTTGCAAAAGGGGATCACTTGACCTTGGGACACAGCAATGGTCATAGGTATGAACTAGTTGCCAAGCATCTGACTTTGGATCACACAATCATGGGGATGCTTCAAAGGTGAAGCATCAACTATGAAAAATGGTCATAAATCACTTCTTTCAGTGCCATTGAAACTTTGAACGGTCACTAAATGAACTGTTGTAAGTCAAGGACTGTCTGCACTATTGATGTTTTATTTTAAAAATGGCATTTTATAAAGAATGAACATTATTCAATAAAGCAATATTTCTAAGTCTTAATCCAAGTGACATGAACAAGCTTTTACACACTAAGAGAACAATTGAAATAGCATTTTCTTAATGCAAGCTTCAGCAAATAAAATACAATGCCACACACCAATCAGTCACACACAGTGGACTGGAACCTTATTATCCATATTAGTTGGTAAAGAGACCAATAAATCACATTATTAGATAACTGAGAGGATTTCAGCTACAGGGAGCAGCAATCAGCTCTTGCCAATGTCTATAGAAAATCCTATTTGATATTTAGCTTGCATTTACCAATCCTCAATCTTCCTGTGAGTCAGCCTTCCTACTGCCAAACAGCCTCTTAAAAAGTGAAACAAGCAAAATAGTATGTGATGTACTATGAAGGAACTGGCTGAAAGTAAAGCTACTGGCATAGCATTAATAGCTGCAGCAGGCTCATAATACAAAGATGTGAAATCTAAGGGGAGAAAGTGGAGGAGAAAAAAGGAATCTTTAATGGCTGGCTGCTTCTCTGCTAGGGCCTTCAGGCTCTTTTATGATCCACTGTTTATGATCCAAACTAGCTTTCACCGTGCGGCTCTGGTTTTGGAGAGTTATGATTATGGTTGTAGTTGTAGTGTTATTAACTCTCTCCATCAAACAGGCAATGGGCATTGTGTCACCTTTGAAACGGTTCAGGCCTGATGCAGCCATCTTTTCGTTTCTCAGATTGCCACATTGTGTGGGAGAGGGAGGCGTCTGGAATGTCAGCCCA